TATCCCTCACTTATCATAAAAGGAGTCATCTCACCCTTTAGAGATGATACTAAAATATGAGGTGCAAATTAACCTTTATAAAATAAGCACAATATGTGTGCTTTAATTTAATTGGTAAACTCTTCCTACCTATTGTCTACATCATATGATAAGAGTATCAATGTTTGGTCAAAATTTTACCTTCAACTAATGTGGCAGTGGTTTTTTCATGCATGTCCCAAGCATTTTTACTTTCTAATTCATTTATCCCATACATTTGATTCCATGGCCCAACTAAATTCTCCCTTCAAAATGGCACATTTATGTGCCACATTAAAAGCACCAAACTTTAATGCTACTAAACAAAAGAAGCCAGATAAAAATTATTGGATGATAAGTTTGGATCTAAACAATTTTGTATGTGTAATGTGTAAAATGTCAAAAGTCTTCCCATTGTTTTACAAAATTTTGTCATATATGAAACTTACTTTAAATAAATATGCAAAGAATACTTATGTTTTGAAATGGAGCCATTAGATTCAACAACTATGTCATTCAAGAAGGCAGTGAATGCAATATTGATGCCTGATTTAGTGTTTGATTAGTGTTGTCTTCAAAAAAATCCCTTAAAAGTTTCTGTGTGAAAATACATACTTAAACAAGATAGCTACATGTGGTATGATTTTAGTTGTTGAAGTGAGTCCAAATAGTGTGACAAGTCAAGATTTTTCTACAATATTTGAGGGGTCACTGGGTCATGAAAAGATAATGTCGTTGCATTACTCAATGTTAATCATTCAATGGAACCCAGGAGAACTCGATTTTTCTATGGTTGCTGCAACTTATTACTATTGCTTTAATGGTTTACTTAGTTTTCATGAGTTGTTCAACTTTGTATTTGACATATGAAAGTTTTTGTGTCAAGGAAATATTTGGTAGCAATGCATATCTTAACCTTGAGGTCAATGTTGTTTTTCAAGGGGACGAATATTTATTAGGTACTTAGTTTGGGCTAAAGCCCAACAAATGTGTCAAAAAGAGGAATAGATTATAAGTGAGAATTTCTTATTGCACTCTAGGTGTTTCTAATGTACCATGTGAATTTTCACATATGCCTCCTGAATCCAGAGATACATCTCCGGACGCACCCAACACACACTCAACAAAGGTCATTATTAGTTATGCCCCTTCTTTTGGTTTAATTTATTTCTGAGATGCATATCCATATTCATTCCTTGGTTACATCTCCGAACGCACCCATAACAAACTCAACAAATATCATTTTGAGCTACGCCCTTTCTTTTGGTTTAATTTATTCTAAAGATGTATCTCAAGAATAATTTCATAGTTACATCTCCGGATTCACACCAGAAACAGATTCAACATATCCAAAATGAAATTGATATTCGTAACATAATATGATCATTACTATGATGATTTCAACAAAAAATTCAATATTAATTTTCAATTTTCTGGTGGACGCTTGCACATCTTCAGGATATCTTCGACCGATCTTTGTAGCGTCGCTTCCAACTCGAGCGAAACTTTCTCATCGGATCCGAAAAAACATATCCCACATAGCCCTAACATTTGCTTGCATCTTAAGCTCAAATTTGGTGAACTGAATCTTCCCTCTGTTGTCAATTAAAGGTGAACGGTACTCGAACTTCACAATCTTTCGATTATCTCTATAAGGTAGGAGATGGTGTATTTTGTCTTTGATATCTTCAAGGGAGGTGAAGCCGGTGAGGTTGAACGTTCATCCGGGTGTAGTGCTGGAGAAGGACACATTTGCGACATACCAATAGATTTTTATCTGTGACATTTGAGACATTTTGAATTTTTATGAAATATAACACTATAGCACTTAAATTTATAGAAGGCAAAGATCAATTTGGATCATTCATTAACTAGCACATTGATTCCAGAGATATATCTCCAAAAATACACCCTATTATCTTGTAACGAAGATGCATATCTGAAACTTCTTATAAACTGGTATCACAGTAGAACCATATAACAAAATCTTTTTTTTCCAATTACAAAAATATAAATGTTGTAATGGAGAATATAAAAAAAAAAGACAAAATATGAAGAAAAGGTGAATATATAACACTACATTTATATTGAGACACAATTACGTATAATTATTTATCCAGTTAAACAAAAAATCAAAACAAATTGAAATATAATTCCAAAGATGCATCTTTGAAATATCTGCTAAACTGAACAATTAAAATGTTGTCCTTAAAATGTTTTGGAGATATATCTCCGAAATAAAACTAACTCAGTGTATGAGGCATAATTCATAATGGCCTTGGTTGAATATGCAAAAGATGCATTCGAAGATATATCTTAAAAATCACGAGGCATATGTAAAAATTCACATGATGCATAAAAAATATCTAAGATGAAAAAAGAAATTCTCTTATATTTGTTGATGTGGATAACTGGTTAAAAGGATAGCAAGAGAGAAAACATTGAGAATTATTCAATTAGGAACCATATTTAGCCAGAGAAAGAATTGTCTCTTCTCTCATGAGCTTAGCTTTAAGATTGCATAGGTTTATCTTATGTAATAGTCAGTGTTTTTTCATAAATAATACAGTTTTTATTTCCCTTGAATTTGGGTTTCTTACACAAATGATACTTTTAAGAGAGTGAAAAATGGAAGGAAAAAATGCAAATACAAAGACTATGTAAATCCTCCAAACCACAATTTACTAAATAAAATTAAAACACAGAATAGGTAAGGTGATAAAAACCTACAATCATGTAATCAAAATCTCAATTTGAATAGTAAAATCAAATCTCATGATTTTGCAATTATGCTTCCCACAGCAGTTAAGAGTATACATATAATCTTTACTTATGAACTATGCTTATAAATTTAAATTTACACAATTTAAGGTTTTCTTGTCTAATGCTATTTTCTATGTGCATATATAGATGAGATTTGTAAATCTTGTATAATCTTTTTTATTAGTGTTACTATTCCATGATTTACTATTTTACTTCTCTACCTGATTTTATGTAAAATCTCTATTTTAACTATCTTGTCTACAATCATTACAGAAGTCTAGAGCAAAGAACATCAATATTCAATATCAATTAAAGGCATAGTTTCCTTGTTTTGCAGTAGCAGAAACAAAACATAAAAACTAAAACTAAACCAAGAAAAACTTACTTTTAAAGGGAAGACATGACTAGAGGCAAGAGTTGCAACAAGGTCTTGCAACACTGACATCAAGTCATTCAATTATTGAGAGGCATAATTGAATAATCTTTCATTTTAAGCCTTTCCATCTTACCCATCTACTTCTCTCCTAAATTATGTAATTGATGGAAACCAACCTACACACACAGTTGAATGATCCACCCAATAATATTGGCAACATAAATACTCCAAAGGAAAATAGTCAAAGAAACTCACAGAAGCTCGCAAGTTGCACATAGGGTGATCTCAGCTGTCTAAATGAGTTTGAATAATTTTTTCAACAACCACTAGTAGAATAAGAAAAGTTGAAATGATCTACCAATGACTAAGCATTTTATATAATAATTTTTCACTCATGTTGATACCAGCTTTTGCATCTACATTTCTCAAGAATTTCTATCATCTAACTTTTCTCCATAAACATTGATAAACTCGAAGCATGTTTGGATCTGCGTCTGGCTTCACTTTTCCACGCCCAAATGCCATCCACCACAAAAACAAAGCTACATTGCTACAATATGTAGCTTTTACGTCGACGTGAATTTCCGCTGCGATTTCAGAAAATGCACCACGGGTCCAAACACTAGCTTACAAGATAAGGATATTCTTGTAAGTTAAAAACCAAATATTTATTTCACAAGAAAGCTTTCATAAGCCAAAAGCTAATGCATCTATTGGCAAAAATAGGACATTAAGCTTCAGCTTGAGTGAAAAAAGATGCCCAGATTCAAGTTTTATGACAACTGTACAAATGCGTGAAAGATAGAAGGCAAAAGACCTCTTACCAACTAACCCATCTCCTCAAAATACTCAACCAAGATGCTCATTAGCTCCTTTCAAACCCATATCTCACAATCTCACATATAACTATCTTTGATGAATTTTACCTATCTTCTTCTACCTTTACATGTGACAAACTTGAACTCTTTAAACATTAAATCTCTCAACCTAGAGTATTAGTCACACCAGTTTTAAATGCTCAGTATTGCAAAGTAGCAAATAATGAAAACCAGAAGTTAGTTAAACGGGCATTGGATCAATACTTACGAAAACCAGTGTAGATATTATTTCTAATACTATAGGTTTAACTCGACTCTGCTCAGAAAAACAACAAATCCATTTCTTAAGAGAATGCATGCAATATACATATTACTATATTCAGTTTAACTCGACCAGTGGTGATATTATTTCTAGATCACCCAAAATTATAGATTAACACTTATTATAGATTAACACTTACAAAATCCAGAATTGTAGATTAATAAAGAAGGAACTACCTGATGGCCATCCAAGTAAATCAAGCATGCTGAACAAACTCCTGCACCAAAAGAAATTGGCTACGCTTCAAGCCACGCCCTATCAGCATAAAATCACTTGTGCAACACCTGGCAAGTATAAATTAAGAAAAACAGATTTGATAACGACACAGTAAGTTCGGTTCGTTGCAGCACTCAACCAAACCATACCAATTACAATACTGTACAAAGGAAAAGGCTAATTAAATTAACTCTAAATCAAAATATAAGGGTCCAAGTGCTACAAGACTAGAGGGAAAATTGAGAAACTACATCAATTAAACTCAGTAAATTAATATCCCTAACTATAACAGTTCAATGGTGCGACTAACAGTGATGATTTTATACAATGGTGCAAATAATGAAGAAGATGGCAGAGGCAATAAAATGAGGCTGCATTTGCAACCTAATAATAATAACAATGCAATTAACCGTGTACAAAAGGTGGAGGAAATCAAAACAAAACCCCACAAAAAAAAAATAATACAAACAGGAAAAACAATTACTTTTTATATCAATAAATACAAATTTATACAACAAAGAAGAAAATTAAATAACTCAGAACCATAAACCCGGGCGTCATTCGGGCTAACATCTTCACCAAACCCCGGCGGTGAAGAAAGATGTGACGGCTGGCCGTCAAATCCAGACGGTGAAGAAGCATCATCATAAGGAGGAGGAGCAATAATGTCTGGAGGCGATTTTACAGACACAATTGGATTTTTCCCGAAAATCTCTCTTGGTAATAAAACCTTTGAAACACCGAAAATTGCGATAGGGTTCTGATCAAAAACTGTCTGAGTAATTATCCCTTGAACAATTCCGGTGTTAATGGCAACTGAGCCGTTAAAAGTTGAAATGTTGAGAGTGAAGCTTCCGGCGCCCATGGCTTCCGTGGCGAGAGTTGGTTGCAAGGGATTCGCGGTGGACTGAAGCGAGCCGAGGGGGTAATAAGCACGGAGAACATGAGCTTTGAGAACAACCGCTTTCTTATCCGCCGGAAGTGACTGAAGCGAAACCGAAGGAGGTAGATCGGCGAAAGCTTCATCGACGGGAATAAACAAAGTGATTCCGGAACCACCTTCACCGGCTTCGAATTCATTAACAACGCCGGAAGCTGAAAGCATGGAAGCAGCGACATTGAAGTTGTGAGCGTCAATTAACGTTTTGGTGATGTTGAGATGTATGCTGGGACGAGTTTCCGATGCCATGAGATCGAAACCGTAAGGGATTAAGAGAGAATTAACGGCAAAGATGGTGACGTTGTACGGTAGGGTTTTGACTAATTCGATGACGGTGGCGTTTGAGGAGGAATAAGGAGCGGGAGAACGGATCGAAACGAGGTTGGAGTGAGGGTCGTGAGTGATGTTGACAGAGCCGAAATTATTGGTGGCGCGGCCGGTTGTTTGGAAGAGAGTGGTGACGAGTTTGCCGGAGGGAGGGAGGGAATGGAGGTCGGACCATGACAGGAATTGGAGGAGGACGTGGTAGCGGAGGACGTCGGTGAGTGCTGAGGGGGGGAGCTGGTGGTGAGAGAGGTTAGGGTCGGTTGAGAGGAAGGAGTTTGGGACGGCGAGGAGAGAGATGGAAGTGCGGTGGGAGAGATCGGCGGTGAGGGGAGTTGCGGCGGAGAGAAGGGCGGTGAATTGAGATAAGTCAGGGAAAGTGGAGAGAAGAGCGGTGATGTTGAGTGAAAAGGATGGTGTTGGGGATAAGATAAGTAAATAGAACATAAAAGTGAGGGTAATTTGGGGAAGTGAAGGCATTATTGTTATAAATTAACGGTTATGTTTATGTGTGTTTTTTCCTTGTTGAAGTTGTGAATGATGTTATGGATCTGGATTGTGTTGTTTTGTTTTCTGTTATGTGTTGTTTGTTGTTGTTGTTGTTGATGAGGTAGATGAGTGAAGTGAAGTGAAGTGAGTGGAAGAGAAAGAAAGAGTGAGCTGTGGTGTGTGATCTGTGAATGTCTCTGAATGATGAGATGAGCACCATGGTGATGCAATGATGATGTGGACCGTTTTTATTTATTTATTGCTCTTTTTATATCGTTTTGTGCCTTGTTGGGATGGGAATATTAATAATCAGCTTAAATAGGAATCGCTTCTCTTCATACTCTCTCCACTGATATTATGCTGGAGGAATCTAGTCTAGACCTCTATTAGTGATATTGTTTAAAATTACAAAATTAATAGCTGTATTTTAGAAAAAGAAATTCAATCATTATCCTTTTTTATTTCTTTTGATCTTCATATCTTCTCTTTATCTTTCTCTCGTTTCTTTTCTTTCTTTGTCTCTCTTTATTTATTTTCAAATTCTAACCTATTTTTACAATTATTTTTTATGTTTAATTTTTTTCTTCAACTTTTGGGTGTTCCGATTTTATTTTCTGATGAGATTGGGTCTTCAATTCTCATGCACCATTTGTGTAAATCAACTGCAAATTAATGGGATGTAGTGCATTTTGTATTGGATGAACTAAGGGAAAAAGTTAAAGTTAGCACAAAATGTTGTTGTAGTTATTAGTTTAGTTTATTGTTTTGTACATGAATGGAGTTAGTTAATTACCTTAACTATTTTTATAACACACAGAGTTGGTGCACTATAAGAGATATTCCAGCCACAATAATTTAGAGATTGTATGAGATAAAATTCTATATTCTACTTTAATACTCGATCATGCCATTAAGAATTGTTTCTTTGAGCTCTATAATTATGCCATTAAGAAATGTTTTTTTTTTTGGCCCCACGAGAGTAGATTGGGACCAAAGTACATACAAGACCTTAATGTACATCTTCTATCTTCAAAGTCACTAGCCCAATATAAATAATTATAGGTTTTTAAGAAGAATGTATGAAGAGGATTAGCTAGTGGGAGGATCAAACCATGACTAATTATACCATGTTAGTATTTTAGAATTCTTTTGACCGCATTCTAATGGGCCTTAAGAGGTTTTGCCATTAATTGATAAGCTTTTTGTTGACATAATAAGAAATGATAGATCTAGTTAATGTAACATAATGAAGAGCTTAAACGCTAAGCTCAGTTAATGTGAATGTGTCATGCTTGCTTAACTTACAATGACTATTGGTGTACTTACTCCATTTGCATCAATCTTGTTGCTCTTGAACAAAAAATCTTTGATGTACTTAGTCTGTGTCAGCAACGTAGATCAATTGGACTAATAGTGCATCTCAATTCCAAACAAAAAAAAAAATTGGTAATAAGATCATGAATTAGTTTAGGAAATGTACCAGTGAGAAGAATGAAATCAACATAAATCAATGCATATAGGTAATGTCTTAATGCTTAAAAACAAAGAGTGAATGATCACACTTGTTGAAAGAAAAACCAAACTGAAGTAAGGTTTGATGGAGCTTTTCATACCATGCCCTTGGAGCATGCTTTAGGCCATATATTTCTTTCTTTAACTTGAATACAAGAGTTAAGTTAGTGTTGACAAATCCACGTAGTTATTGCATATACACCTCTTCTTGAAGATCGCCATTGAGAAATACATTATTGATATCAATTTGATGGATTTTCCATTTATATGTAAGGGTTAAGGACAAGATGACTCTAGTAGTAATGGGTTTTACCAAGGGCGAGAAAGTTTTATGGAAATCAAAACTTTGTTGTTGGTGAAGTCCTTTTGCTACTAGTTCAGTGAAGTCCTTTTACTGATAGTCTGGTGAAGTCCTCTTGCCTTATACTTGTTAATATTCCCATGTGAATTTTATTTTATCTTAAAAATTCACTTGCAACCTATATATTTTCTGTGAGGTGGGAGATTTGTGAAAATACAAGTGTCATTCTTTAAAAGTGACTTGTACTCAAACTACATAGCTTCAAACCACTTCTTTAACGTCGTATTCTAAATTTTGACCAACTTTTTTTTCTTTTTCCACTTATTTTGCTAAAAAAAATAACAGATAAATTGTATGTTTAAAGTTTATAAATTTTATTCTTTCTGAATTAAATACTTTTTGGTATGTGCTTACAAAAAATGTGTCAAGGGGGTTAAAGAGGAAAAAATTTAAAAAAAATCAAACTCATTAACATATTAAAATTTTGGGTTCTATCCAATGAGCATAATAGCCCATGAATATAAGAAAGAAAGGTGAATTTTTTTTTAAAGTAGCAATGTTATAATTTTTATTTACCAAACAAATTATTGTTTCAAAAATATTACCAAAATGGCAAGGTTTGGATTTGGTTCACGTGCATTCGCCAGATGAATTGGCGAAACAGGCAAAATTGGCTTTGAACCAATTCGCCAAATAGAGTGGCGAATGGGGCTTTGCAGTATTTTCTTTGTGGGTTTTCGCCCATTCAATTGGCGAAACAGGCAAATTTTTTAGAGTTTGTTTTGTTTTTCAATTTGCTTTTAATTATCATATAATATATTTTCGTTTTCATATTTAAAGTTTTAAAATTTAATTATTTTTTGATTTTAATTATTATTATTATTAACCATAAAATATATTAATTTATAATATAATTAATATTAATATAATTAAAATATATTCGTAAGCATAAAGTGATAATAAAATGAAATTATATTAATTTATAATGTAATTAAAAATTCACGAACAAAAATATAAATATAATGAAAATTACAAAAAAAAAAAAACCTAATGATCGGCTCTATCCGAGTGACCACCGGTGCCACATTGGGGGGGACGCGTGTTGCGACGAGGTCTTCGACGAGGTTGTTGTGGTGTGTCAGGATGTTGTGTGTTGAGTTGTGGTGGAGGGTTCTGTTGGGACGGCCCCGGCGTATCAGCTAGATCTTGCATCATTTGACCCCAATAGCCGGGAGGTCCCATGTCACATGCACTTCCGTAGTCAAGGCCAATGCCCATGTTTTGGTACGATTGTCGGGGAGGGTGGGTGGAGTATGGACGGTATGGTTGTCCGAAAGTGTACATGGAGTTGGGTTGGTCTAGGTGTGTTGGTTGTTGTGGGGTGTGGTAGTCAAATAGTGGGTGGTTGGAGGTGTAATTGGAGGGGGTAGGGTCGAATGAGTTGTCCGGGATATAGGTGGCAGGGGTAGGATCAAAAGACATATCAGGGTTGTACTGGTAAGATGGTTGAGGCTGAGATTGGATTGGTGGCATGTAAGGTGGTTGTTGTTGATAACGGGTATATGTTGGCATGGATTGGTCTTCGTATGGTGGTTGTTGTTGATGTGGGGTGTCTGTTGGTATTTATGGGTATGATGAAGAACCGCATTCCCTTGGATCGGCCAAATAGGTTGGCTGGGACAGGAAAGGCTGGGTTGTTGTGACAGACCTAAACCAAGTCATATATTGAAGACTTGGCCTAGCCCCGTGCACAATACTGTCGGTTAAGACGTATTGCCTTCTTCTTTTCCAAAGTACACGCAGCTCCTTTGCAAAGTCCTTCCAATCACCAACCATCCACTGTGCGTCTACCCGTTTTTGATGCCACTTCCCCAAGTCTACGGGAGCATCTGGAATATCTTTGCTGTCCACACAGCGGCATCGTCGGGGTTGGGCTGGTGGTCGAGACCCTCGTACGGCATCTAGACAAACTACAATATAGTTGTAAAATTAAGTTAGACAGGATGTGTGAAGTTTATGCATATACATTAAAAAAAATTAGGGTAAATAGCTTACATCGTTTGGCCCAAGGTGGTCGATTAGGTTGCGGTATTGAATTATAGAGTGCCTTGGACATTTCTCATAATTCATCCCGGGTACAGACCACCTAAAGAAATAAACACAAGTTAGAAATTATTAACTGAAATAGAATACGTAGCTGCTAAATAATGTTGAAAAGATACTTACTTTTTTGCGTAGGGGAACGTAAAAGAATTTCTGTTTATTGGAGCAAGCATTAGCATCCTCGACCAACCCCAAGCTTGCAAAAGATAGGCACAACCAAAAAAAGTACAAGAATTTTTTTTGGACGTCTTACAAAGTGCGCTATATAGATGGACGAGGACTGCTGATCCCCAGCTATATTCACACACTTTGTTGGTATTACGCAATAATGGTAAATACATAGTATGAATTGTATTTCCAGTGCCGTCTGGAAATAAAAAGTGCCCAAATAAAATCATAATATAGCACCGAGTTTTGAGTATTTTCTCATACTCGGTGCTATCATCCGTTAAAACAATACTGTTGTATTGTTCTCTCAGGTATTTTAAGTTAATACCCTGACCCCTCGGGCGGCCCTTGCTTGCCGCCTGAGGTCCGTCCTCACAAAGAGGGGTGCCCAATAAATCTTCACAACGTCGGTCAGGGACACCAACTTTGCTGTTGACGGCCTTACCATCAATGTGTAGGCCGAGCAACATATAAACGTCCTGGAGAGTCACAGTACACTCACCACAAGGAAGGTGAAATGTATGTGTCTCCGGTCTCCAGCGTTCTAACAACGCTAGAATAAATTTTGTGTCAAGGGAATAAGATTTGATTTCGATCAAATGCCCAAACCCACAATGTATAAGATAGTTTGTAATGAGGGGGTCGTGTGGTATGTAATCATGCACACGACACCGAAACCTTGATACATCCTGCAAAATAATGAAGTAAAATTACTATAGTTTTTTTAGACAAAATTACTATAGTTTTTTTGGACAAAATGGTAAAACATAGACATGAAAAAAAGGACTTACAAACTCGACGATGTTTTCATCCGTCCCTCTGTGAGAATCACCCATGGTTAGTACAGACATTGTCGAGAGTTGGGAGTTTGAAAGTTTAAGAGTTTCAGACTTTGAGAGTTTGCGAG